AGGGTTTGGGGTTTAGGGTTCCTGAGAGCCTAAAGTGGGTTTTGAAAGCACCTACAATGTTCCCGGCATGGCCTAAATGTTTTGAACCCCCTGAACCTAAAACCCAGCCCTAAGGCAACAAAACACAAATCCCAGACCCCAAACCCCTAGATACCCAAAACGAGCCCCCCATACCCGAAACTCGAACCCTATAGACCCTAATCCCTGAACCTCAAACCCTAAACCCTAAACTCTAAACCCTACAGACCCTAAACCCTGAACCTCAAACCCTAAACCCTGAACTCTAAACCCTAGACCCTAGACCCTAAACCCTAAATCCTAAGCCCTGAACCTCAAAACCCTAAACCCTGAACCCTGAACTCTAAACCGAGCCTCACTCCCTAAACCCCAACCCAAGAGAATCAGAGCAGGACAAGCACCGTGAGCGGACTTGCAAACTGCGGCAGGGTTGAGGATTTAGGGTTTAGGGGCAGATTTCCTGCCTGGTTGGCGTTGGTGATGTTCCTGGGAAGACCCACAAGACGATGAGGGGAGGCTGTAATATAGGGGCCGTAATAATGTTAATAGGGTTTTGGTGACCATTCTACTATAATTATAATAAGGAACCCCCCAAAACAATAGTATAACTAGGTAATTATTTGGGCCCCTTCATTACGGGGAGGGGGTTGAGGGCCTGGGGTTTGACTGTGGCTTGGGAGATTGCTCCCTGTCCCAGAGGGCTCGTGGGTGGAGGGCGCAGGCTGTGGGGTCGATGAGTTGACAGTTGCGGGTTGTGGGTTTCTGGGTTGAGGGTGTGCCAGTCTAAGTGTTCAATCTGAGAGGTTCGCGCTTAGAGAGTTAATTGAGGCTAAGCCTAAACCCTAAAGCCCTAAACCCTAAAACTCTAATTAATCCCTAAACCCTACCTATAGTCTCCATTGTAGTTCCTTTTTTTGGTTTAACCATATATATATATATATATATATATCTATATATATTAAGGATCTTATAAGGTATCCCCAAAAAGGAACTACAATGGAGACTATAGGTAGACCTTAAATTAACCCTAAACCCTAAACCCTGAACCCTTAAAGATTGAGGGCTGGGGGCTCTAGGGTTTCCAGCTCAGGAGTTGATGTGCCATCAGAGCCGCTCGAACAAGGCTTTACGGGATTTAGGGTTTAGGTTTTGGGGTTTAGGTTTTAAGGTTTGGGCGTCATTTAGGCTCAACTTGGAGGATCATGGGACTTAGTAAGTCAGGTTATAAGTCCCCTAACTATGGGGTTGTAAGTATAGTTACCTTTACTTAGTTATAACCCGACTTACTAAGTCCCATGATCCTTTAAGTTCGATTTATTGTCACAAGCGACCGAGACCCCTGGGTTTAGGGCTTTCCTGGATCCTATAAAACCTTCCTTTTTAGGGCTCCCTATTAATTAAGATTTCTTTATACAAGTCCTTAAAAAAAGGTAGGGTATTTTTTTTTGGGGGGGGGTCTAGGTATAGGGTTTAGGGGTTTAGGGTCTGAACACATACCTTATGAAGTAAATGGCTTACAGGGATTATGGTTAGAAGCTCAGGATTCCAAGACCACTGCAACTCCACACCCTCCGCCCTAAACCCAAAACCTCAAAACATAAGTTTTTGGGCTCAGGCTTCCGGAGCTAGGGTTTAGGGTTTAGGTTTCAGGGACTTTTAATAAGAATTTCGCACAAAACCGACAAGGTATGCAGTCCTGAACCGCCTCCTTTGTCGACACTTGGTTGAAGCAACGCCCAAAGCTCTCCGAGGCAAAGAACTACATGGGCTTCGTGGGTTGAGGGTTTAGGGTTTATGGCGGTATACCTAGACCACCCAAGTACACTCTACTATAGCCGAGGACACCCCGTTTTAACTTTGAGGACCATCAAGGGTCCATTAGAGGGCACTAGCATTTCATGGGTTACCTGGCACGTGATTTCGTTCATACAGGCCATACCCATCTACTCCGCTAGCCAAAAAAAAAGCTACCATGGAGACTATAGGCTAGAGCAAGAAACAGGTTTCCGATGCGATTCCACGGGAAGTTGTGACCCGAAACCTGCACCCTACAAGCCAGCCGCCTTACACCCCAAAGGCAGCAGCTCTAGGAAGCCTACATCCCAGAGCCCACACTCTAAATCCTATGCCTATAACCTCATGCAAGAAATCCTAAATGCTCAACCTTCAACAAGAAACCTTAGCACCCCAAACCCTAAGCCCTCAACCCTATCACCCCGTACCCCAGAACACGAACATTTGTCGGATGAGACACTCGTTCTCATTCTTGGAAGCACCCAAAAGCACCAACATCTGCAGAGCTTGGGCTGCAATCCTCGGTCCCGCAGACCGGCTCATAGGCTGTAGGGTGTAGGGTTTGGGGCTTAAGGTGTAGAGTTTAGGGTTTAGAGTTTGGGGCTTAAGGTGTAGAGTTGAGGGTTTAGGGTTTGGGGCTTAAGGTGTAGAGTTTAGGGTGTAGGGTTTGGGGCTTAAGGTGAAGAGCTTAGGGTTTAGGGTCGGTGCTTAACTTAAGGTTCAGAGCCTAGGGTTTGGATTTATAGGGGCTTTATGGGAGTTTCCGAAAATAGGGGACCCTAATATAGTACCCTAAATAATAGGATCCCTATTATAAGGACCCCCAAATAAGGTACCCTAATTTTCCGAAACTCCCTTATAGGACCTTATCACGTTTCTCAGAAGAACCGGGGCTGGGGGGGATTATAGTCGAGACGCCTGAGGAAAGCTACGAAGTCTTCAGGCCCCTGAATTAGGGTGTAGGGTTTACGGTTTAGGGTCTAGGGCTTAGGGCTTATAGGGTTTAGGGTTTAGGGCTTAGGGTCTAGGGCTTGTAGGGTTTAGAATTTAGGGTCTAGGGTTTAGGGTCTAGGGTTTAGGGGAAGGGTTGGGGTTCAGAGAGAATAGGGCAAAAGGTCTCGGGGCTTAACATTGAGTGTCCTGAACCCAAAACCTCAAGCCCCAAACCAGTAATGTAGGAGCCTTAATTATTTTAATCGGGTTTTGGGCTCCTTTATAGTATACTTATAAAAAGGAGCACCAAAACTAGGAGTTGTATTTATTTAGGTCCCTATATTATTACCTTGTGATGCAAGGGTTTATGGATGAGGGCTTAGTCTTTAGGGTTATAGCAGGTTATTGGGATCTAGGGATTCGGGTTAAGGGCTAAGGGTTTAGGGAGTTAAGGGTTTGGGGGCCAGTGGTGCGGCAACTTCCAGACACAACAACCAACCCACAGCTCGGTTCAGGGCGAGAAAAAACGGTTTAGGGTTAGGCGGAAATTCAAACTGTGGGTACTACAATCATGTGGTTTTTAATAGGGGGTTGAAGGAGCAAGTACTCCACGGTAAAGGCAACTGGGCTTCCAGGGTTTGGCTTGAGCGTTCAGGTAGGGTTTAGGGCTTAGGGTTCAGGGTTTAGGGCCGGAAGTGAGTCCAGCAAGAGGAGCATGATCGGGATGGAGCCCAACATCACAAGGGACATCTCCCAGCAGTAGACGAAAGCAATCCTGGGGCAATCTTTGCTGGTTAAGGGCTTGGGGATCTTTAGCTTAGCATCAGGTTTGAGCGACTTGGTTGAACTCCGAAAAAAATGGGCTTGTGGATTCGGGTATGTGGGGTTGCGGATGAAGCTTGATTGGGAACGTACCTTGAAGGCAGGTTGCAAAGCACCGGGAGACTAAAGAATCATTGCGCGTTCCCCGGAATCTTTGGCTTGGGACAGATGGGTTCGGCTCTGTACAGCTTCGTCGTTGAGAGTCGTCCCAAAGCCCCTAAACCCTAAACCCCAACCTTAATTGCCCTGGGTATGCAGAACTGAAGAACATGGCCGAAGAAGCGAGTGGGATTAGTGAACCTATGAGTTTAGGGCTGGGGAAAAACCAGGGATTAGATATGAACCCCACGATCCTTCAACCAGCAACTCCCCTTTTTAGGGGCTCTGAACCCTAAACCCTAGACCCTAAAACCCTAAACCCTAAACCGATTTCTAAAATCACGATTTAGGGATGCATCCCAGGGCTTCGGCTGAGGAAAGCTCAGCCCTAAACCCAACACCTGAAACTCCAAACCTCAAAACCTCTGAAGAGGGTTTGGGCTCCGCGATTTGCATGTAACTACAACATGGAACCCACAGGCCCTAAGGGTCCAAGTACCTAATAATCATTATTCGTCTAGATAACTACTATCCGCAACCAAAGTACCTTATTATTGGGTCCTTTGGACCCTTCGGGTAAAGCCCTCAGGAATACTCTTGGGTAAATGTTCAGGCTTCTATAACAGAAAGCCCCAAACCTACCAACCCTCCACCTAAACCGGACTCGGCCAAGCTGCACCAAACCAACGACCAAAGAACTCATGGCCGCAGCCTTGGCCTGTAGTAGAAGCAAGGCTTGCGGAATAGGGCTTGCAACTTAGTGTTTTGATAGCACAGATGTCAACAAGCTTCATGTCGGGGTCAACAATAGGCTATGGTAGAGGGCTAATTATGGCTATATGCACCCCAAGAGATGGCAAGCGGGTG